TTGCACTGCCTCTTATGAAGCTCTTTCAGATGTGGTCCTTTCAGCTGACACCAGACACCTATCTAAGCATTCGCATTTCTGTCGAGTTCAGCTGTTGCTTGTGATTCCTCGTTCAGTACAGAAATACCAGCTTTACCACGGTTTTGCATACCTTTCCTTTAGGTTAATGATTATATTCTCATTTACATTTCAGTCAAGCTTATTTTAACGGATTTTTCAGTTGTCTTTAAGGGTTGAACCAAACCTGGCTGAATTCTTGATTTTGAGACTGCATACTGAGTGTTATTTTACAGATTCGATGGTTTTCCATCTGTCCTGCCCGCTGAAAAACACACTATGAATTTCGACTTGCCTTTGCTGTGCCGAAGACCATTTCTTTCGAGGACTCTTCTCCACATTCATTGCTCAACTCCCTATCATATGCATAGAGCACATGTGTAGTTACCGTGTCTCTCGCTATCGACAACAGAAATGGGAATATGTTGAGCCGTGATGGACTGACCCATAATCTCACAAGGAAATCGCTCGTTTCGCCGCACGTTCTTCGAACTATAGTGATTACTGTATCCTACATACCTTTGGTACGCCTGAAAACAGCTTCGAATAGCTTCTTCCTCATGCTCCACCAAGAAGTCTGCCTTGGCATTCGATCAAAATCTTTCCCCAGGTCTAGGAACACCATGTGAATATCCTTGATGTCTTCTATGGATGTTTTGATGAGCAATCTTAACTAAAGATTTTAATTATAACATTTTCATTTCGTATACTATCGTTTTCTTTCGTAAAACTTGAAGTGACCTGCAACATTAAATGAAACTGACCAAATTTCTTACCAGTTCAACGCTTTCGGGATTAAGTTATCAATACCAAATACCTTGAAATTGAACATTCCGGGCAGATATTCACAAATAACGTGTTCCTTGGAGTGGATGGTCGCACAATCGGCTGTGCAATGTCTTTCACTCCAGACCTAGGTTATCTTTTGCCGAAGCGTTTGAAAATAAGAAAGGAACCTTTGAAGACAGTGTCATACACATCTACCTCCGCGATCCAAAATAATAACCACTCATCGAAATTAACTAACCAAATGACTGACTGTCTGTATGACAGACCGACTGAAATAACTCTTGTCAGTTCTAAGGATTCAAGGGGCATAAGTGACCCGTTCTCTTGCTTACAATAACCGATGGGACAGCTGATGCAGGCTACGGCTCAATTGTATTACGTCACCTGCAGTGCATGGGTGCAAAATCGTCCAACAGTGTTGGCTTATATAAAAACCTGTTATAACACCAACGGATATATCCTGATCCATTGGTATATAAAACGCAGTCGTATATAACGCACAACTTTAAGCCAATAAAATAATAAATTCACGTTTTGAACAAAATCATAAACATCCATTTCTGACCGACAAATAAGCTGAACATGCAGAGTAACAAGAAAACAATTATAATCAAAACAACAGAAAAGAAAGACCGGCACGACGGGAGTCAATCTTACACTGGGACTTTATCACAGAACACCACATCGAAAAAAATAAAAACCAGCGCAAAACACAACACCTAACCGTTAATACCGCAAGACAGAAAAATTCAACAGTTGCCATTTATAGCCTTCTGGGTTACTGAATGCCTACATGAAGCTAACAGGAACCAGGAACAGTGTCTGTGCAAAATTAACACTAAGCACTTTTCTTTGTGATTCTCAGACATCAGTGTATCGGAAAAACTTTCCACAGAGTACTCTCCAGCTAATATATATAATAACCAGCCGAATGTCTGATCAGGGCGAATATCAACATAGACACTCCCACTTCTAAAAAGGGTCACCCATCTCCTGGTCTACGCGCTTGCGGTTTGACTTTAAAATGCTTAGATAATATCAGCTAAATAAAAGATTACTTTAGGATTAAATTGAATTACATTAAATCCTAAAACATTCCTCGAAGAAACAACTACAATTCCTCGTAAAATATTATCATTAATGTGTACAACTGAAAATCGCCATGGGCTAGGGCAGTACGGTAGGTTTGTCAGTAAGTAGCATTTGTTGCATTTATTAAAATTATTGGATTGTACAAAACTACTGTTCAGACAATCGCACGATCAGCATGTTTAATGTGCGCTATATAAAATCGTATTTCTGCTTGCTTCGTCATCATCATGTCTCGCTGTTTTGTAAAACTGAAAGCTATGTAAGACTGGTGAGGTCTCTGATGCTAAGATTTGTGCCAGTGGATCTTCATTCGATGTATGTCGCACTAGTATCGTGGTAAGAGATAAACGTAAAACGATGGAACTGCGGGTTCGGTTGCATTAAAGGGAAAGTTAATCTTGATTGCTACATAACCAAAATAATTTATCCTGCGTTACTTCTGTGCAGCGTGCTAAGATGCATATGGCAGGTAGTTGCACTTGCGAACAACAGGGACAAATGCTGTTTTCCGACAGATACACCAAAATAAACGAAATGTACTGAAAGTCTTGATTATGTGACTCGCCAGGACCTATTTGATAGCTGACCCAGTAGGACAATGAACACAAACTGACACTATAGTTGTCGTAATTGTAGCTATTTCAGCCAGTTTCATGCTCGAACAGCTGTCAATGACGAACATTGACTCTTTTCATATGTCAGGCTTACATGGGCGAATTTACTTGTCAGTAATCTCAGGATGATGAATACTAGTCTATAATCGAAGAAAAACTGTTTAATCCGAAATAATACTTTATAAGAATTGACTAACTCGGCTTCTGAAAAACACACTAGAATTGGCCAAGTCACAAACACAAGAACGCAAAATAAAATGCATTGGATTTAAGGGGACAATGTATAATGCACACAGTAAACTCCAACTTTGCTGGATCCAAACCAGTATGATCAATGAGCAGGAGTACTGATCGTGGCGAGATTCTCATTAAACGTAATTGCTTGCTTCTTATGGTAAAGCAGTTATCCAACGTTACACCGGCTTTGTCGTTAACAGGGTTTAAAAGAGTTACCCAGTCTGTGAGGGAACTCAAGCAATCTGCAGGAACTCGGTGATCAGAATGTGCTTTTTACCCTTCAATCGTTGCCAGCCGAATGGATCATTCTAAATCCTAAGGCCTGCCAATAAAAATCATCTTGGATATCAGGGGCATGAGTAGTGGTATATTAGCCATTGTTGGTGTGGTCTAATGTTGCTCAGTAAAGTCATAAAATAGAGCCACGTTCACTGGGTGCTATAGGTATTCAGCCGTTTGTATTTATGTTGCGGTATATCCTGATATAATGACTTCCATCCCTCTTAAACTGCTATAAATTGGTATAAACTAAGAAGCTATTTGTTATGCTCGTGAATTAATAAACATTACACCTATTATATTCATTTTGATCTATGCGCCATAAGTTAGCTTATTACGACTCAGTGACGTGGTCTATGTGTCCTATGCATTTTGATACAAGGGAGATGTGGCCTTCTTTCACGGTGCCGCAGCGCGACTAGAAGCCGGGAAACGACAGAGTATTGTGCTAGAACATGGAGTAATAACTCCCATTCGGTTTACCTTCCCGCTGCATCGGGGTAAAATGCTAAAATTGGCAGCTTGACCATACTCATTTGAGAACGGCGGCGACGGCTTCGCTTATGCGTCAGCGCCTTTATGAAGATTATCATCTGCTTTTTTCCTTGCTTCGAACCAGTAGTATGAAAATACATAAAACATTATTGGAAAAATAATGAATTGCAATAACAACGACAACAAAACTCGAACACTTAGTTTTATAGTATATCGTTGTCTACAGTAATTGAAGATTAATACCGTGTCGTCTCAACATTGTAATTTTAAATATCTTTGTCATAGTTGCCATGAAACAGTGCTACCTGCATTTTTTTAAGTTTCAGATTTCCTCTGTGTGTTGCTGAACAGGTTGATAACTACTGGTCAGTTATCCCATTGACCATATTGATTGCATTGTGCACAAATAAACAATTTGACAGTTTTCAACATGAACTTTTTCTGCATTTATTAACAGCTGTATGACGTGCATCATGTTATCGCGGCTGAGATGATATAGATGCTCAGATTAATTAATTGATTAATTGAATTGAACTGAATATAGTTTAATTACAATCATTTTTTTGTCGTTCATGGCATTTTGACAGATATATTTTATTAGAATAAAAACAGCAATGAAGAAACATTTCAAAGACATGCTATTCTTGCACACTTGCTTCATATCTACGTCACAGATGTGTTCCGCTACTTGATGATCAACACAGTCAGAATATGGGCGACAGTGCAACTGCTTCATGAAATTTACTTCCAGGAACTAACATTCACATTACAGTTCAAGTTTGCAGAATGCTGAGGCTCCGCACTTCCTCCCAAACACTCCTTCAAAAATTGCTCAAGATAGCTCCATAGCACTATGATATTCTCATAACTGTAGAATGGACTAGCCACGTCTGGATAGAGCATAAAAGTGACGGGCACATGACGACGTCGCAGGTTTTCCACGATCTGTTCTGACTCGTTTTTTCTTACCGTCGGATCGTACTCTCCTTGCGCTAGGAAAAGCGGTTTTTTTATTCGCTCTGCGTGAAACAGAGGTGATCGCTGCTTCAGAAACTCTAGTCCTTCCTTAGTTGTTGGTGAGCCTCCTATACGGTGCACTAGGCTGCTGTGCATAGCCTTACACTGATCTGAAAGCGAGTCAAAAATGGATATTAAGTTCGACGCTCCAACGATGCTCATTCCACAAGCGAAAACATCTGGCGTGAAGGTAAGGCCTGCAAGTGCAGCATAGCCCCCGTAACCCATCCCAAACACAGCTACTTTGTTTCGTAAGGTGTAATTCCGTGCAATCGCCCAATCTAAGGCATCCAAGAGGTCATACTGCATCTTTCGACCCCTTTCCCCGTTCGCAGCAGAAAAAAATTTCTTGCCATATCCTCTAGAGCCTCTAAAATTGCACTGAATAACGGCGTATCCACGATTCGCCAGCAGCTGCGCATCATTATCGAATTTGTAAGAGACTGGATCCAATGAACATCCTTGAGCATAAACAACGGTGGGCAAAGGATAACGCGGAAATCCAGTGCTGTCTATAGAATCACGCGGGAAAGTGAAAAAGCACATCTCTGTTAATCCGTCTCTGGTTTTCACTTCAACGGCTTTTGCAAATGACCTTTTATATTTGAACAGCTTTTTACGCGTACGGAAAAAACGTTTGCACGTTTTTGTCTTGTTACGTACGTCGCAAGTGTAATAGCTAAGGGGACTGTGGTCGTTATAGACGGACACTACCCACCACTGTAAATCCACGCTTATGGAGTTTACATATATGATGGCATCTTTTGGAAAATAACTCTTCACACGTTTGTAGCTTTCAGCCACATCCGGCAATAGTGGATGAATTTCCGCGGCTGAGTACGTTTCATATGCTAGAAGCGGCGTTCCTGACGTTGGATGCAAGAGAACTTCCATTACATCTGCCTTCTGAGGTCGATACAGCACTCGAGTTTCTCCGGTTTCCAGATTCTCTGCGATCAGCATTGCCAGATCCTGCCGTTCGCTGCTCAACCAATAAAGAGTCTTGCCGTCCTCGCTGAAGCTCAGAGGCTTGGTCATCCACAGTTCATCAGCATCGACCTCCTTGTGTAGTTTCGCGGTGTATGAAGAACCATCGGCTGTGGGTTGCAACAAAAAGAACCGGCTGGAAGCCTGGTCGGTATAGTTCCTAGCCAGTCTTATTCTCAGCTGTTTATCGAACCAAAAATCTTCGTATAGCTTGTTTTTGAACATCAGAACTTTGCTTCCGGTTCTGATGTTCAATTTGTAGATGTCTGGGTGGCAGTTGATCCCACTGTTCACACCGATGATGACCGTGTCTGGCACCAAATGGCTATGAGACATAATTCTGAAGCTACCTATCTCTGAAATACTGGTCAGCGTTCGGTAGAGGCCGCTCTGCATGTCCATCGCTCGTAGTTCTAAGTTTTGGTAATTACTCAAGACTTGCGTATAAAGGATCGTTCGGCTGTCTGACATCCACCAATAGTCATCAATGCGGCCACCCTCCTCCCCTACTATTCGATCTGAAGTCTCGTGTGGCCACTCAATGCAGAATAATTTAAATGTTTGTTTGTCCCGGGCAACGTACGAGAACCAATGTCCATCTCCGCTGATTCCCACTTTCAGAATGCCATTATCCCTATACAATAGTCGTCTAGGAATAAGCTTTCGGCCGCATGCTTCAGACAACAACCATATTAGGCAGTTGAATAGAAGAGCAACTTTCATGGCACTTTGCAGAATTTACCAGAAATTTGCCTTTTATGCCGATATCGCCGGATGTAGCCTAAACAAAATTGATCATTCGTGAAAAGTTTTTAAAATCAATTTCAATTTTATATTTTTCAGATTTTTCAGATACAGATTTTATATTAGATTGACTGTTCATGCGCGAGATGAGGCACTAGCCCATGAGTGAGGGCGCTCAAAAAAGCAAAGTCTTAATTTATAGAAGAATCTTCAGACTACTAAACTCGACGTCCTGTCGAAGACAGTTGGCGAGGATGGACAGCGGCAGATGGAATGTGGACATTGAGCTAAGGTGAAGAAGAATTTCAGAAAACAACGAAAAAATCGATCAAGTATGCAAAAGTTAGCTATACTGTCATTTGAACCGCTTTCTACTTTCTAGTCGAACCTTAGAGCACCAGCTGAGCGAACTTGACGTCATGTAAGGTACAAAGTGCGCAACAGATCCAACCTTGCAGAGGCGCATATTTTTAACCGATGTAAGATTAGTCATCGATATTACACGCTTAAATGCCTTTATAGAAGTCATATTTAGGCAAGCGACATTCTGATGATAAAACCAAGCTCCGGACTCAGAATAGGAGACAACTGACAATACTAACCCCAAGGAAACCGATGCACCTGCGCGGCTTAGAAGTTATGAATACTACTATTTCGTATGAATCATTTGATAAGTAATATAACTTTGTGCCAAATGCAATGGGTGAAACTGTTTGAAAGTGCTTCGGCGTAAAACATTATAAAAGGGAAATAATAATTGGTAGCAGATAGATCAAGTTGTTTTTACTCATACAGAAATTGAACGATTTGAATGTATGATCTAGTTATATACCAACCAAAAAGGATGCGCTTATCATCGTACCAAGAGCGATCAACTGAATTACTTTTAACAACATTAGTTGTTCAGGGAACAAAACGAAGAAAATAATCTACGCTGAATCTATAGGTCTGTTCCGCAATGTGCTTACTGTACCGTTGACATTTATGAACATGATTGTGTTACGATCATTTTTCATGACTATTTAATGTTAAATTTCAATGCTAATTTTAGCTATGAATCGAAC